TGGCACCTATCATATGTTATGATTTTCTGTTTTATATATAAAATTTATAACGCAAAATTTTCACGTCAGGGTTAGAATTAGTATTTAGGGTTAGAATTAAGGTTTTGTGGCGTAGAACATTTTTACTTAGCTAGTTTTTGAACACCATAGGTGCGTTTTAGTAAAAGTTTATAAATTATAAACGATAACTATAATTATATTTGGATTTTGTATCGGATATCAGTTGACGTATACTTGCGTTGGAGGAATATATACAGTCTAACCTTGATACAACCACTGGGTTGGTAACCCAAAATTTAATGTGACTAGGGTGATAGTGCCTATACAGAGGTTAACTTTCTTACCGGAAATAATGCACATCGGCGCGTTATTTTGAACACCTGCGCATTATTTCGGTACGTCCATGTGTGTTATTTCGAATTTTCTGTGCTGTGTCATACATTTGCTTATTGTCCGGAGCGGAGTAGAGGACTTTACAGTCCAGACCTGTCACGGTTGCCCCTGTATTGATGTCCAGATCGGTGCGAAAGTTTTACCATTTGGGTAATTACTTTTGAATCCAAAATTTTATTACGTCATATGTATAAATTTGGTCCGGGTTCAATAATAATTACCCATTTAGACTTGTACCCCTGTAATTGTCTGGAGCGAAGCGACAGACTCATACTTCTATGCCCTTTGATGACCGAAATTACGTTTTTGATACATTTATGTAGCAATATCAAAAATGCAGTTTGGATGTAACGCCCGAGTGCATCTATGTGCTCCCCCACCCGATTTGGGGGACGCTTAAAGCCAGGTCCATTACGAATTTAAATTAACGTTAAGGTTAGGGTCAGTTTAGGGCCTGTATGGGCTAATATTAAAAGGTTTCTATATGTAAAATCGTCCCCTCGACATTTTTTATTAATGTACCAAGATAGGTTTAGACATTGGTTTCTTGTATTTTTCGCATTTTTACTTTTTTTGCTTCGTCGGGCTGATTCGTGTAAACAAAAATTGGAGATTTTGATTGGTCGTGCATAACGGGAGATCTCGTGATGGACCTGGCTTTAAGCGACCCCCATATTTGTGATCTTGCCTTACTTTTTGTAATCTGTCAAAAGAGAAAGCACTATATTTTGCGAACTCAAAATCCTATTTTCAACCAATTACAAGAAATATATTATCTCAAAGAATGAATAATAATCCATCCGAAGATGGTGTTCTTATCTCAACATCTAAGGTAAGAAATCTTGTAGGTGCGCGCGTGAATGCGGTACGTCTTGTTACGACATAAGTTACGGCATACGTCAGTTGCGTCACAAACGATATTATACGTTACATTCGCAAGTTTCAATTTGCCGCGTTTTTAATTAACAAGTTATAACTGAGTTTTGATACGGCATTTCCCAATGATTCAAGTTTCACCCGCACCTCTCATCAAGTGATCATCGAGAAATTTGGTCAAATGGTCAATGAGAAATATTTGATTAAAGTTTACAAATATGGTTACAGTATCTACGTGTAAAATTTTTAGTTTCTAACGGACTCACTGTTAACCCTATATACTAGTAATATTAAAGCGCACACCCTCAATAACCCTAAAACATATGGTTATCTTATATTCGACTTAATAAAGTAATAGGAATATAAAGCAAACGTATAATAACGCCCAATTTTAAAAAGTAATAGGAATATAAAAAGTGTAATAACGCCCGATTTTAAAAAGTAATAGGAATATAAAACAAAAGTGTAATAACATCCGATTTATCTGAAAGCACACATTAAAAGATGCATAACTTAGCCCAAGGCATGCCTAAATATTTTCCAATCTCAAAAAACAGTAATAATGTAAAAATATCAATATATATATATATTTATTTATTTATTATGAACAAGACTTAATTTTATTAAAATTACAAACCCAAAAATTCCAAACCAAAATTAACAAATAATAGTAAAATAATAATAAATTATTAAATTCTAACTTTTTTTTTAAAAAAAAACTCTTATTTAAAAACACTAATTCCATTTGGTATCAATATATTCCTCAGCATCTACAAACTCTTCCTCAGCATCCACAAACTCTTCGTCCGAATCACCATCACTAAACTCACAACTATCTACAAATATCTCCTCCTCATCTTCCTCATCATCATCATCAATATCCACCACCTCTTCATCATAATCTATAATTATGGGTGTCATTATGGTCATATCCGAATTCTGTATATTTGTCTCCACCACTGGTAATGACACATTTTCACTGATAGGATTATTAAATACATCTGATGGACTATTATCCACTATGGATACAACTTCTAGAATGTTAGGATCTATTGTTTGCAAATCATTATTTACATATGTAAATATTTCATCAACTTTACTAACATCCAAGTTATTATCTCTTTCAAATCTCAAGTCAAATTCTGATGCACTTTCATGATGATATACAAAGTCTTCTTCATCATGTTGAGAAACAGTAGTTTGACTTGAACCTCCACCATAACTATCACCACCGTTACTTGAATATTGCATAGATGATAATGATGATGTAGAACTTTTTGGTAATAATGAAATTGGTACTGTTTGAATTCTTTCATCCTTGCCTTTGTCTTTCACTTCAACTTTATTAATGTTATTATTTTCAGTTCTAATAATTATTGATGGTGATTCTGAAGATTTGATAACTGTTGTAGTGGAATCTTCTTCTTCATAACCAAAAGATTTAGTTATATTGGTCATATCGGCTATATCTTTAATATCATCTATGTCCAACAATTTTTTAGATTGTTCCTTATTTTCAGTATTCATCATCGACATCATAGCTGAAACACCATCACCACTCGTTATAGATCCAATTAAAGAAATATTGTTATTATCTTCTGAACTGCTTTCACCACAAAGTCTATACATACTTCTCCTATTCAGCCAATACCTATCATCCTCCATTACTGTAGCACATAAATCTTTTTCCAATATTTCATGATAGCATACAAGTCTAGATAATTCTAGACATGTGTGTCGAAGTTTAGTTGCTACTGTAATTGCAATTTGTATTATTCGATCTCGCGTTGATGCCCTATAAGGAATCATGAGAAATAGATTGTTACGAAACCGAACTTCATTTTGGAGTTGAGCAGTTAAAGTTGAAATTTTTCCTTGAAGTTCTTCGATCTTTGTCTTTTATCATATAAAGAAATAGATTTTTTTTTTAGATACTTTGATATAATGGATTAAAAAATAAAAATGAATAAATAATAAAAATGGAAACTTACGCGTAGCAAGTTAGCTCGTCCTTGTGCATCTTTAGCATTATCTTCTTTTAACCTAAACATAGTTCTAAACTTATCACTCCCTTTTTTGGCGTCTCTTCTGTTAATTCCCGAATTTCCAAATCTAGCAACTCTTTCTGATTGTTTTTTACTAACATCCTTTTCTTCTCTCTTTTTATCAGTAGGAACAATTCCATTACCTACACCGGCACCCATATCATTTTCATTTTCATTAACGTCAGCAATGTTATGTAATGTCGAACCAAAACTTGACATGCCACCAGTAGTACCACTCCTAACATTTCTAATTTTTAATCCAACGGTTTTAAATGTAGCAGCGTAATTAATTTTTGATATCCAATCATTCATCTCAGATTCATTTTCAGCTTGAAATAAATATTGATGACCTTGAGGACATACTAATCTAAATACATTTTTGTATTTATCATAGCTTTTGTCATATACGGCAACAGAATCAGCCGTCATTAGGATGGCATCAGGTTTTAGGACGGGAAGTTTCGTTGAATTCTAAGATTTATTTTTATTGTCTGTTAAAAATTAAGTAATATATAAAAATAAAAAAAATAAAAAAAAAAAATAATAAATACATTATTTAGGAAACAAATAAATTAAAAACAAACCTCATATTCCTTTAACTCATTTATTTGAGCATTAAACCAAGTTTCATCTTTAAAAAACATTAATTGACTTCCACTTAATATAACACCATATAATTTCCAATTTCTTCCACCTTTCTTTTTACCATCAATTAAATCAACTTTTCTTCCAAGTTTACCACCTTTTGTTATTTTTAAAAGGAAGGTTCCATCCTTTGAAGGTTGAAATGAACTAGTTGTTGAACTAAATTGATCACCATTACGTCGATTTTGAACACCGGTAATACGAATAGTTTGAGCGGATGAAAAAGCACGATGAAGGTTTACTATATCTAAAGAAGGGAGTGTACCAATGTAGGAATAAGGATTTTCTACAGGAATTATATCTTTAAGGTATGGTTTAAATTCAGTTGGTTGTTTCTATTAATGAATAATTATGAATAATGTAGGGGATTTGTTTTGAAAAATATTAAAGCTAATTGTAAATTAATTAAGAAAATAGAAAAAATTATTTTTAAAAAAATAAACAATTAACCTACGGTCTGTATCACATGATAAGGATCATTCCTAGGACGCAATGATTTTCTTTTATCTTTTGAAGAAGAAAAGATTTTTAGTTGACGATGATCAGAAGTCGGAGATTCAAGCATTGTCTGTCCATTAACATCGACATCATCTTCAGCATATATAAATGGAGTATATATAATATTATCGTAAAGAATCTAATATAAACATTTATAAAAATTAGTATATAAAAATAAGGATTACATTTATAAAAATTAGTATATAAATTAAAAAAATAAGGATTACATTTATAAAAATTAGTATATAAATTAAAACATAAGGATTATTAGATTATTATGTATAATTACCTCTAGTATTTCAGGATTCACACCATCAATACGAGTATTTTTTATAAAATCCTCTTTTGTCATTTTTCGTTTTACATTTTTATTAAAAGCGTCAGTATGAAGCATTAACAAAGAAAAAGCCAAAACATATGGAGTATCTATATATAAATATAATTAAATATATAAATTAAATATAAATTAATACGGTATTTTGAATAACAAATATTATTATAAACAATTACCTGAAGAAGCATACAAATCAGGATTCAATTCATGATATCTCTTTGCGAAAGCTTCCATAACTCGATCGATTTGTTGTGTTTCTTTTGGTAAATGACATTCCATTAGTAATTTCCTATAGTTTATTAAATCACGCGTATTTAGCTAGAATGATGGGCTATTAAACGATATTAAACGATTCAAATGATAATGAATACTATTAAATGATATTAAGTGCTATTAAATGAGAAAGTGCTATTAAATGAGAAAGTGCTATTAAATGATATCAAGTGCTATTAAATGATATCAAGTGCTATTAAATGATATCAAATGCTATTGAATACTATTGAATACTATTAAATCTTATTGAATGTTATTGAATACTATTGAATACTATTAAATTATGCTAAAAATACTAATGGATACTGTTGAACACTATCAAATTATACTAAAAATCCTAAAAATACAAAAAAAACTATTAAACAATTTGATT